AGTAGATTCAAGGGGAGAAAGATAAGTGTTGAAGGGTCGAGTGCGTTGGAGTTTATTAGCGTAAATGCTAATCAAGGTGAAGTACATGGTTTGGAGATCTCATGCTACCATATTGTTCTATTTAGCGAAGCAGAGGCATCCGTAGCAGTCAGGGAGGCATTGGGAGTGGAATTTTCTGCGTCGAGGAGGGAGGTGCTGGATAGACTGGAAGAGATCGAGTCTACTGTTAAGCTTTGAGTTAGAGAGGTTAGTGTTACTATTTTTATTTGTGTGTTTATTCTTCTATGGTTATGTTTTTTTCTGTGATGACGTGAGATGTAAGAAGCATGGGGAAAAAAGGAGAATTTGAGAGCTATATGTTAGGTTATTGGATCAAACAAAACAAATGCTATCTTGTTACAGGAAACAAAAGTTTATGAGATTCTTGTATGCGTATAAAGAAGGTTAAAAGGCAAGCGATTTGGGAAGCTGGTGCCTGCTCCTGCTGAAGGTGCTTCGGGAAGCCTTATCTCGATTTGGGATCAAAATTTGTTCCTTGTGAGTAGCAAGATTTTCCAGAGGAGAATTGTGGCTTTAAAAGGAGTGTTAGTGCATTGTAATATGAAGATATGTTTAATTAATGCGTATGGTCCGATTGTTCAGGGTGATAGATTGAAGTTCTTTTATCAACTCAATGACGTAATAGAAAATTTGGGTATTCCTATTATAGTCGGTTTAGATTTTAATACTGTCACAGTGGAAATGGAAAAAATTGGAGTGCTTTCTTACCTAGTGGTAATTCAGCTAATTCCCACATCTGATTTGACATAAGCGAGTCCATCTCATCTTTCATGGAAGACTCCCACTTAACTGAATCCTCCACCTGCATTGCTTCATCATAGCACTCTGGTTCACCATTGTCAGTCAGCAACAAGTAGTACAACGAAGGCGAATAACACTGGGTTGATTTAGGAATTCTGGAGAAGCGTCTTAGTTCTAGTGTGCCTGGTTCTTCTTGAACTGCTTCAGGATTGATCTGAACATCATTTCCAGAAATCTCATCGAACTCAGCAAATTCCTTTGTTTCAGCTTCGGTATTGGAGCTACTTGATTCTACAGTTGACTTGTCTTTGTACATTACATTCTCATTGAAAATGACATCTCTGTTTCTGATGATCTTTCGATTTTTGTAGTCCCAAAACCGGTAACCGAACTCATCACCACCATAACCAACAAAGATACATTTGTTGGACTTGGCGTCAAGTTTACTTCTTTCAACAGAATTTATGTGTACATAAAAAATACAACCAAACACTCTTAAGTGTGAAAGGTTTATTTCTTTCTTGCTCCAAACTTCCTCTAGTATTCCGCCATCCAAAGGAAAGAGGCCTACGGTTGATCAGGTAAGATGCATTGTTGATAGCTTCAGCCCATAGTATTTTGGGCAAGCCGGCATGTATCCTCATACTTCTGGCACGTTCATTCAGAGTTCTATTCATGCGATCTACTATACCATTCACTGCGGTGTCATGAGAACTGTTGTCTCCATCTTGATCCCATTATTTGAGCAGAAATATCTTAATCTACTTTTTCTGTACTCTCCTCCATTGTCAGACCTCAACCGCTTGACTTTCAAACCAGTTTTATTTTCCACCATGACCTTTCATTTTCTGAAGGTATCAAAGACTTCTAATTTCTTCTTCAAAAAATAAACCCACACATTTCTTGTAGAATCATCGATGAAGGTGACATAATATAGTGAGCCTGCAAGAGATGGAACTGGAGATGGTCCCCATACATCAGTATGAACCAACTCTAACTTTTCTGCCTTGGGTGTATTGTAAATCTTTGCAAAACTGACTTTCTTTTGTTTGCCAAAGATGCAATCCTCGCATAGCCCGACATCTATATTCGTTAGATCCGGTAGCTTCCTTTTTTTATAAAAGTGTCTTCATCCCTTTCTCGCTCATATGGCCAAGTCTTTGGTGCCATAGGTTTGATTTTTCATTTGCATCTGCTACTGCAATGATATTCTCTAAATTTGAGGTTACATAGAGAATACCAGTTTTCTTATCACGAGCAATGACGAGTACTCATTTGGTAATTTTTCATTCACAGCCTGAAAAGGTTGTACTATAACCTTCTCCATCAAGCTGTCCTACAAGAATCAAATTTCTTTTTAGGCCAGGAATATGTCTCACTCCTTTCAGCGTCCAGGTGGTCTGGTTTGACAAATTTAGTCGGATGTCTCATTTTCCGACGATCTTCAAGGTTTCATCATCAGCTAGATGAACCTTCCCAAAATCACCACTGACATAGTTCTCCATGATTTCTCGGCATGGGGTGGAGTGGAAAGATGCCCCTGAATCCAAGATCCATGATTCAATCGGACTGTTGACGCTTAGAATCATGACATCACCTGTCTCCTCTATTACGTTGGCAGATTCCTGTGCGTCGGTATTTTTCTTCGGTGCTCGACAATCTATTTTAAAGTGACCATTCTTGCCGCATTTATAACAGGTAAAATCTTTCTTTCCCGTTCTTGATTTTCCCCTTCTGGATTTGGATATGCCACGATTTGAATTTCTTTCTGAAGTTCTCCCTCTGGACTCCGTGTGCAAGGCTGAGGAGGTTGATGCTTCACCCGATTCTCTCCGTCGAATTTCTTCGCTCAGTACCAGATCCCGAACATCGTCGAATTTCAATTTACTATTTCCCGACGAGCTGCTAACTGCTGTAACAGTAGCATTCCAACTGTCTGGTAGAAATAAGAGAATTAAAGCTTGAACTTCATCATCGAATTCAATTTCCACGGAACTCAATTGGGTTGTAATTGTGTTGAGTTCATTTAGGTGTTGAGCCACTGATGCCCCTTCCGCCATTCGCAAATTGAATAATCGCCCCATCAAATGAACTTTGTTTGAGGCTGATGGCTTCTCATATATACTGGAGAGAGCCGCCATAAGACCCATCGTGGTCTTTTCCTTTGCTATGTTGAAAGCAACATTGCGGGATAACGTCAGTCGGATAACTCCGAGGGCTTGTCTGTCGAGAAGAGCCCAGTCTTCATTCTTCATGCCCTCTGGTTACTTTCCTGAGAGAGGTTGATATAAATTTTTCTGGTACAGAAAATCTTCAATCTGCATCTTCCAAAAGCCAAAGTCCGCACCATCGAACTTCTCAATTTTCACATTCCCTTCGTCTGCAGCCCTCGCTCCCACTTGAATATGGCTTCTTTGGATCGTTTCTGACAATTTCTGCGAACCGCCGTATATTAGAACACCTCCGTCGACAAACTCGTATCACCGACAAATTTTACTATTCACGAAATTCACTATTCACGTAAATAGTAATAAATAGTAACCTCTCAAAAAATTGACAAAATTCACAACCAAAAGCTCTGATTACCAGTTGTTGGAAAATAAACCGAGTACGAGTAATTTCTCTATAACCAGATTAATGAGAATGTGAAATAAAAGCGGAAAAATAATACCCGAAATTGATAACGAAATTCAGCCAATTATGCCTACGTCTCCGGACTGCTGCAAATCTTTTACTAAAGAGAAAATTTACAGGTATTTACAAAATACTCACTACTCACAAGAAAACTCTTTAGTATTGAGAGAAAAAAATGATTTGAGATGATTTTGAAGATAAATAAATTAAGGTATTTATAGTTAAAATTTAAGGATTAATTTTATAATTAATCTTATTTCTATTTTAATTAAAAAATAAGGACCCATAAAACCCAAGCCGGCGGTGCCCCTTTTATTTAGCCGCAATAATTGACTTTACACCTCGCAGGGAGAGTGGTGCGCTATCTGAGACATCTCTGAGACACCGTAATCTCCCTCACTTCAGAGTTCTCCCACCTGATCTAAGTACTGTTTTTCATTTCTGCAATGTTATCTCTGATCATTTTCCGTTTGTTTTCTTTTCTGAACAAGGAGAAAGGATCTCATATATGGCTGACACATTTTTTGGGGGTTATTTCAGTTTATATATATATATATATATATATATATATGCTGATATCTTTTATTTGACTTGCTGCAGGGGTTGCTGTACTCGAGTTCCCAGAATTTTATGAAGAACTTGAGAATCTTATAGATCATCACAAAGATATGCTCTTGGATATAGAGGACATGTCTTACGAGGTATGATGAAGCCCATTAGTCATTGTCTCTATGGCTTTATTTTTACTGACCACAGGAGTTGCTCGCGCTGGGAGAGCGGATTGGCAATGTTAACACTGGTTTATCAGATGAAACCGTTAGACGTAAATTGAAAACAAGATCGTATTCGACATTTGCAACAAATATTAACCTGGAAGAAGTCGCATTTGTTGACCAGGAACCTGAATTTTGTACAATTTGCCAGGTAATTAGGAGATCTTACAGCTTAGTTCACACCATTCATTGTTGATCAGCTTGAAGCGCACATCTATTTCTTCGTTCTAGTTTGCAGCACTGTTTTTTCATCATGGCATCGCCATTCACTCCAAGCATATGTTATTTACTTTCTTGTAATTTTGCAGGAGGATTATAAGAAGCAAGAGAAAATCGGCACCCTTGATTGTGGACACGAGTATCATGCGAGTTGCTTTGGAAAATGGCTGCTCGTGAAGAACGTATGCCCCATATGCAAATCAGAGGCATTGGCCACATAGTCCAAGGATGTATAAAGCATTGCGGTGACATTATCCAACAAAAAGTAACGAACTACATAAGATGTTTGATGGTCTTTTCGCCATAAATCAATATTTGTAGAGTATTTTGTACATGAACTTGCGGATGTCTACCAGACAATCATTTATTTGTTGGTTCTGTAATTATCAACAATTGTACAGACTTCCATTATGCAGTCTCTCATGCGATGATATTAACTTTTAGCTATAATTATTCATTACTCTTTTTTTTCTTACCATATATATATTGCCAGTTTAAGTTATATAAATTAAGTAGGAATGAGATTCTAAATCAATATTGAATCTAGAATAAGTTCCGAACATGCAAGAACACCTCGACACAGAACTAGGAATCTACAATAAAGAACATGACACCATAAACTGATCTGCTACACCGAGCTTGGATTCTACACTGGATTTTGCAACTCAAGACTATTTTTTGACAAGATCCTGCAGAGCTTGAATGAAATTGTTGATATATTCTTCTTGAAGATGTCTGCTGGAAAGGGTGTGCTTCAGCTTGTCACGGTTTGCCTTCAGCATCTTTGCTGTTTCATTCTTCTTGTCCATCACCAACTTGATGGCTTCACTCAATGATTCCTTTGGGATCTGCGTGTTTTTACCTCTCTCAACTTCAACCCCAATCTTGAGTTCATTCACCATCAACCTTGTAATCAGGATGTGATCAAAAATTTGAGGAATCAACACGATCTGACAGTCACTAAGCAAAAACTCCCACATCGATCCATATCCACAGTGGTTTACGAAACACCCAATGTTAGGGTGGTGCAATAGCAGCTCTTGTGGAACCCAACCACCATAAACCAACCCTCTCCCTTTAACCCTCTCTTGGAGCCCCTCAGGCAGTGCTTCTTCAACAGTCGAGCATCCTTTGGGTGGCTTTAAAGCTACTAAAAATGGGAGTCTACATAACTCGAACCCAAGGACCAACTCTTGGAACTCATCTTTCTGCAACTGGGTCTCGCTTCCGAACGAGCAAAACACAACGGACCCTGGTTCGAATTGGCTTAGCCAACTAACCCATTTCTCATCAAGCTGTTGGGTCTTTGTTTCAGGCAAGCAAGGCCCCGATAGCAAAACAAGCTTACCAGATCGTTGAGCAAAGTAGTCAAGAAATGGTCCCTCGATTTCACGGTAAGTCCTGAAGGCAACGACATCACTTCCTATCATACTCTTGTGCATCCGTTCTTCAAATGACAATCCACTCCCGAAATCCTCAGCGAGAAACAACAATGCATGAGCCTCTTCAGCTTTGAATCTCACAGAGGAAGAAGGGTAACCGGGAGGCAATTCTATCGCCTCTTCTACCGTCGTTTCCCTCGTTAGTTTCTTATGTTTTAACACCATTCCCGCCGACATCGAGGCGGCCACTACATAGAATACGGGGCTGATCCCGAGTTGGCGAGCCAAGTCAGGGATCCAAAACCATGTATCATAAAAAACAATATCAGGTTTTAGAACCTTGAAGATGGATTCAACTCGATCTCTGGTTTGGTCAACTGCAAAAGCAAGGTACTTTTGCTGGTTCATAGGAACAACAGCTGTGGTTTCAGCACCAGGAGGGAGACCATCGACTTGAGGAAGAAGGAGAGGGAAGAACTGGATGAGGTTTGGGAACTGGCTCAAGTTTTCAAGCTTTGGTTGAACTCCTTTAGGCAAAAGGAAGGATATTTTATGGCCTTTCTGAGCCAACTTATTTGAGAGATGAAGGAAGGGGATGAAGTGACCATAGGCAACCCATGGAAACATGGCAATGTGAAGCTTTGAGCAGTCGGATTTCCTCATTTTTTCTCCTTCAAATTTATGTTGAACAAGGTGAACCCAGACTGAAGCCGTTAAATACGAAGGCCTACCTAGTTTGTAACGCCTACAATACACAGTTTCACAACAAAGGCAATATACATTCAGCTTGTTTCTTGATACAGCCAAGTTCTGCATCAATGAGATTGATTTGTCAACATCAGACATTTTAATCGGTAAAATATCAGTTTTGTCCTCATTTTCTTTCACAAGTTATTTTATTTTAGGATAATCATTTTTTCTAGGCAAAAATGATTTTATTAAGAATTAAAACAAATAAACCTCCTACCTAAGTTACATGTCTCGTTAAAAACCTACTTAACCGTTAATCTATTAACGGAACGATGACATAACATCTTCATTCCATGACAGCGATAACATGACTCCCTCACCAAAATAACGTCGTTTTGACACGACCGTTTTAATGCTCAAGAAATTCAAAATGACTTCGTTTTTGTTAATGAAAAAAATGATTTCAATGAGATTTAAACCGTAAACTTTAAAAACTAAAGTTAAACACTCAACCACCAAACTAACTTAAGAACTTATTATAGTCTTAACAAAACTAATCTAAATGTTAAATAGCAATTTGAATTTTTTAATTTTTGTAAACACAAATAGGCATCTCCTTCCTTTCTTCTTCAACAAAACCTTAAAAATCTTGAGAGTATGGAATTGAAAATCTTTAAGGAAGGTTGGATGTTGAGCTTGGAAGCCAAATCAACAATCTTGAGCTTGACATTTCGTTAAACTAATGGTATTTAATTATCTTCCCATGTTCTTCTCTCACCTTTTTATTAAAAAAAAAGTCTCAGTCTTTAAATCATTAGTTAATCCCTCATTCTCTCTTTTTTTGGATCCATCATCTTCCTCCCAATCGGGTTATTTATTTTCTCTGTAAAGCTTTCATTTTTTTTTTGAAAATGGCGTTGGAATAAATCGAGAAAGTTTGAGTTTTTGTTGTTGATGTAAGGAGAAAGAAGAATGGAGAAGATGATGATGGGAGGAAGGTCTTTAGAAGAGACTCCAACTTATACAGTTTCCTTTGTGATTACAAAATTAGTTGTCTTTTGCTTTGCAAAGCTTCCATTTAAAAAAAAATGGCGTTGAACGCTCCATTTATAGATTTGAAAGGTGAGTATCGTACTAACTCTGGTTTTAGATTTGGAAGGAAATTTTTAATTCGATACTCAACACATTTGATAAGAAAGATTTTGTTAAATAAAAAGTTATTAAGTTAGTTTAGTGGTTGGATGTTTAGCCTTTTGTTTTTAAAGGTATATTATGTTCGAACCTCATTGAAATCATTTTTTCATCCACAAAACAACATGATTTTGAGTTTTTTGAGCACCAAAACGACGTCATTTTGGTGAGAAAATCACATCATCGTCGTTACGAAACGAAGATGTCATGTCATCGTCTCGTTAATTAATTAACGACGGGGTGACATAATTACAGTTATACATAAATGACAGTGTTAAAATTGACAAAATTAAAATGTTAATTGCATAAACGAATCCAAATTTAAAGATAAATAGTATTTAAAATAGTTTACCCTTTATTTCATGTAAAGTTGTAATGGTAAAAATACATCATAATTCATCGTTTCCTTTTCACAGTTTACCCAAACACGATTTATTAAAATTATTTTTCCATTCCTCTTTTAATTTTAACCATCCAAATAAAATAAATAAGTAATCATTTTCTTTCCATACCTTCCCCTCTTTTACTTTCCTTTCTTTCTTTTTTTCACTAACTTCAATTTAAACATAAAATAAGATTTTCTTTAATCAAACATTACAATCTTGCATTTCTACTAAACAAGTTAATCAAGATAATACAACTTTTCCAAAATAATATAACATTCCAGTAATCTTATTTTCAACGACAATCTTACATTCAGTGAAGTATATTAGTCCCTATTTCATCATATAGTTATGATGTTGTATTGATCAATATAGAGTTTTGATGCTATGCTTTGTTACTTTAGAATGCATAGTTTGATCACCTAATATCTGATCAAGTCTATTCGTTGACAAGTTTTAGGGCTGTTCATGGACGGTTTATCGTACCATTTAGCCTAAAATGTCGGTTAACTGTCGATTAACCGTTATAATAGTTATAGGATTTTTCTAACTGTATCATAACCATTAAGAATCGGTTAATCGCTAACGGTTAACCATTATTAACGATTCGGTTACATGTTAACCTTTGGTTAACCTATTACAATTATTTGTCAAATTTTTTCATAATTCATACTATAAAAAAATATATAACTTAACACATACTTACACCGATGTAAGTGAATAAAATTAAAAAAAAATGTAGCACTTAACACATACTTACATCGGTGTAATTATGTACATCTCCAAATATCTTAGTACCTAACAATAAACACATAATTATAATGGTGTAAGAATATTTCTATATTTTCAAAGAAATAAAAATTAAAAATGATATATATATATATATATATATATAATTATTTGTATATTGATATTGATCCATGGCTCCACAATCTCCGAAAGAATCATTTAGATTTAATTATTTCTTATATATTGTTGATCAAACTATTATTTTCTCTTAATAGAAGATTTGAAAAATACCAAGAATATGATATTTTTTTTGAGTTTTTTATTTTCTTCTCATAATTTGCAGTCGCTAGATAATGCAAGTCTAACAGTCTAAAGTCTCATTGTGTTTATTTTGAGTTTATTCTTAAGAATAAAGGACAATCTGATATTGATGGAAATGAATTGTTCGTGGAGTTGGTACTAAGAGAGTTCTTTCCTGTCGAAAAAATGGGGCCATTCGAAATTTTGAAGTTTTTTGAAAGATAATATTTTTTCCTAATGCTATTATTGCATATAGAATTTTATTAACTATTCATGTGACAGCTGCATATGTAGAACGAAGCTTTTTTAAATTAAAGTTGTTGAAGATCTATATGTGTTCTACTATGTCACAAGAAAGGTTTATTGGGTTAACATTGATAGCGATTGAGAATGATATTTTGGAGAAAATTGACTACGAAGATTTAGTTGATGATTTTACTTTTAAGAACGTTTGGAGGATGACACTTTTTATATAAAATATCACAATTATAGAGTTATTTTGTGACATTATCTTAATTTCATATGTTTATATTTTTTTTATAATAAATATTAGTAATATAATAAATTTTGATATTTTATAATTTCAATTTATTATAAAATATTTTAGGAAATTTATTTTAAAAAGTAACAGCCTCCGTATTTTTTGAGACAGGCCTATACGGCAATACCAATGGAAGTCACTGCTTTCATAAAGGGTCTTAAGCTTTCAACCGAGAATGGATGAGATTATGCAATCATTGAAGGGCATGCAATCTCCAGTGTGAATCAACGAGCAGACCACCTAAAAGATATTTCTATTGTAGGAGTGCTGTTCAACGAGGCGCGCACACTCATGCTAGAAGTCCCAGCCCTCAGGTTCATTATGTTAACCAAGAAGATATTTGGACTAAGTCTACGGTGATGGTCGTATAATATACCAACGGTTGTGGGAATCAAAATCGTTGAAAAACTTAAATGAAAAACCTAAAATTCTGCCGACACTTTACAGTATTTTTCACTATGATCGGCATAGTTTCACAGTGAGTGGAGGATTGATTTTGATCGCGACGGCGAGACGATCCTCAACGGTGATGGCCATAGATTGATTGTGGTTGATAGACGAAGGAAAATATATAAAATTTGAGAGTTTTAGTTTTAAAATTGTAATATTAAATTTTTAAAATAAAATAATTTTTAAATTTTTATATGCATGACATGTGTCAGATAACACAAATTTAACGGTTGTTACAGTCCATGCACCTAAAAGTGCAACGTTGAAAACTTTAGGCACTTATTTTTAGTGAAAATTTCTTTAGACACCAAATCGTATTTCAAGATATAGTCTAGGCACTTATTTTTGTATTAAGCTTGATGGTAGTTTAATATTTTTCATATTTTTATTATTATTCACCTCTCATTTATCGATTGAATATTACTGATTTTATCTTTATTTTGAGTTTATTTTGAACATGAACCTCATTGGATTAATTAGCCCAAAAACCAACCGAGTTCGATGGTCCAGCTAGCATCTTCTAGAAGATGAGCAAAATTATTTTGAATATTTAATTTAGAATTTACCTAGTTCAAGATTATCCAAAAGATAAAACAGAATTCAATCAGGACTATAAGACTTAGGGGCTGTTTGTTTTCCTCTTAATGGAACCATTCAGCTCTGAATGTTGAACCGTTCAGCATTCAGCGCGTTTATTTCACACCTCTGAATGATTCAGTACTGACTGATTCAGCAAAACAATGTTGAATGATTCAACAAAACAGTGCTAAATGATTCAACAAAACAGTGTTGAATGATTCAGCACAGAAGTACATTCTGAATGATTCATAGCCATTATTAAACAACACGTCACATTCAGTGCTAATTCATATAGAGCCTCTGAATCATTCAACATTTGAATCATTCAGCGCTTAATCATTCTGAAGTAAACAAACAACCCCTTAATATTTATTTTTATCTTTTTGTGATAAACCTTGTAAATTTAGAATTTTAGTTTGATTAATTTATTTTTTATTTATTTAGAAATTAATTATTTACTTAAAACTCTCGGAAGGATTTTAGTTTGATTATATCATTATCTTTTATTTAGTAATTAATTATTTTATTTACATAGAACTCTTAGGTTATAAATACCCCTTAGGTAACAGTTGAAAAACAACTTGGAATTTATTTTCCTTGGTTAATTATTGAAGTATGTTTTTTTTTTTCATCTACACTTTTCTTTTCTTTTTATTTTCTTTTCATAATGCTAAGCATGATTCAAACCATGCTTAGCTAAACTTCTATTAAGCCAAAAGTTTTTGCGAAACTCAATTCTAATAGTGAGAATTGAGTCTTGATATTCACACTTCAGATTATATTCTTCGATTCTCTGGAAACTAGGAGTGTCAATCGATCATTCTCTTAAAA